CGAGCAGCAGCTCTCGCCCGGTCAAGCTGTGGGCTGCCTAGGGGCTCCCTCTCCCCGTGGCTTTGTCTGCGCCGCGAGTCTGTGTGCGTCTCTGCCTCACGGAGGGAGTTCGGGTCAATCGGCCCCAACGGACGTCTACTCATCATGCAATTGCCATGCCATGCAGGCCGCTGTGGCTGTGTCCGCTCTGCGCTGTTGGTGTGTCGCTGTGCCCGCTGAGCGCGTGTTGTCTGCTGTGCGTGTGTGTTCAGTCTGCTCGCTGAGCGCGTGTTGTCTGCTGTTGCTGTTTGCTGCTCTGCTGTGTAAAAAAAAAAAGTGCGCCCTGTAGTCACAAATCAAGTCCTGTACTCTAAAACCTAGTTTAAGCGAACACAACACACGCACGCACTTTTTTTCCTGCATCGGCCCCTATATTGCGCTGAGCCCTCTCAGGCAAGATTAGAAATCTCGCTTCGCTCGAATAAATAGTACTAGGGCGAAAAGGCTAGGGAGACGACAAAGGAAAAAACACTCGAATAAACTAGGGTGAGGTTATGTTCACTTTCTAAACACTGCGGTGATGCCAAAACTACATTCGAGCGCTCCTCAAGAATCACCGGGCAGGGCGGAGCTGCAGCAGGTCCACGAGATGGTAGAAAATAAAGCCGCTCACCCATGATGACCTCGCAGCTGACACCACCTTCTCCTGCTGCGTATCAACTCCCAGGTGTGTACTTGGATACAACGCGTGTGTACCTTTCGTCGTGTACCGGTTAAGATCCACTACAATCGACTACTACTCGTTGCTGCTGCTACTGTCGTTCATGAAGGATGCTCTACAACATGGCTGAGACACGATGCAAACGGTCTCGGCAACACCTTGACACACACCGTTCGAAGATAAACAGGAAAGTTCTACCTTCATTGACTGCAACTCTACTGCTGTGCTGACCGCCGCCTGTTCTTTTGCCTCGATGATACGTTAAACACAAGAAAGACTAAACTCCATTGATGTAAATCAGTATCACTCCTAACCTACTATCCTATGTATCCCCCTCCCCTCAACGCGTTTCATCTACACGAAGAACAACATATATTGTAGATTTCAAAATGAGCGGGAAACAGCCACGCTCAAATCTACAGCAGTACAACTCCAACTTTTGAAAAACAAAAAAAAAATGTGGTGCGTGTACATGTACAACAGTCCTACAGCTGTTTATACTTAGTCTATATCCAAGTCGCCTAAAACAACGGAGTACCAAAACCAACATGTTGTCAAACGACACTGCGCGATGTTCCCTGTGAAGGCGACATTCCACATACTAGAGTTGGAGGTGGAATAGTTTTTTGTGGTGGTTGCACAAAAGTACCTGCAGTAGGCTCGTGCGTCTGTTCATTGGCTGGCTCGTGTGATTTTCTCGTCGTACAGAAGAACGGGGGACGGTCCATCATCACCAGCTAGCGAGGGGGGTGGTATCCATCGTCAGCCGTGAGGAGGGGGTGCTATCCATCGNATCGTCACCAGCTAGAGAGGGAGGGGGGTGCCATCCATCGTCATCAGCTAGAGAGGAAAAAAAAAACGTTGAAAAATTCTCCGGCTGGTGCTGGTGCTGCTGATTGTTTGAACAGGACGCTTCCGCCACCGCTTTAGATAACAGCAACAGCAGCAGCAGCAGAGGCGACACACCCTCTCGCCCACAATAAGTGTAAAGAGGTGCACAGCACAGCAGTGGTACTACATCGTCTAGGAACGAGCGTGATGTGTTACTGGTTCCGTGCTGTGATGTATGTGTGCCTCTCTCCAGAGCAGAGGCCGCTCCCTCCCGCCGCGTCGCAACACAACAACAACCAACCGATGGACCCACAGAGACCCAATCAATATCTCTCCTCTCGCTTCCTCCGCCGAAAGCTAGCAGCAGCAGTAGTATAGGGCACACCCTGCTCCCGTCCCGCTCTCGCCGTGTGGTGTGTGCAACACACGCTGGTTGGTGGGAATCCCTCTCTCTCCAGAGAACAAAAGGCGAAAACAAGGCCGGCTGCGTTGAACAACAACAAACCACGGAAACAACAGCAACAACATCATCAGCGATGAATGAACCCCAGACCAACCAAACGTTCCCCGCTTCCTCCGCCGTCGCTAACAGCAGTATGTGTGTGTGTCCCGCCTCCCTTGTCCATGTTTCCTGTCTCTGTGTAGTGCGTGTCTTTCCAGTAGCAGCAGCAGTGTGTGCAGCACGGCAGTGCGTCGTGGTTTCTTGCGTGCGTGTAGTTTGTTGCCCAAAAAAAAAACAAAAATGACGCCTCCCGGGGATGCGTCCATGTGACATACATATTTGCACAAGCGGTGTGCTATCTCGAGACACCGACCACGGATTGCGAAGGTAGCGGTTGGGACAGCTCGGGCAAAATATTACTTGTGCGCAAGTTTTAGTTTGCAATTTGGTGCCTAGATGGTGAAATGGGCTCGAGTCTGCTGGCTATTTAGGGCGCGCAGACAGACACCAGACAGACAGCCATCGCGAAATTTTCACGCCCCTGGGCATGAAAATTATTCTTTTTCTCGTGCGCACATACTCCACACACGATCCCTCTTAACAGCTTGTTTTTTGCAAAACAAAAAGCGTATCCCTATTCGGACCACTCTTTTCGCAAAAAAAAAACTATTAAAAATAAGAATTTATCCGCCTCTACAGATGCTTTTGCTAGGTCCAACTGGCAATATTGATAACTCAGTGCTAGGCTTACACATGCTCAAAATATGTCAAGTCTCCAGTTGGTTTCAACCCACTTACTGAAAAGACTTCACCACATCCCTTTCGACTAACATGTCTCGAACGAGTAGTCTTTCTGTTACGTGATGCTTTCTTGTTTACTTTCTACAAAAGTCCGAAACAACAACGTTGTATCATAATTTATGCATACTCTTTCTATTCGGGTACTCTATTCCAGGTGTATAGTATTTCTATTAGTATGCATCCTACAGCAGCTGCGGTTGTATCCTAACAATGATGTCGATCCGGCAACAGAAAAGAACCTGCTCTCATCAGGGCACACACCACAAGAAAGCACGGGCCGAGATTAAATCAAATAGCAGCCTCTCCCCCCCCCTGAGTCGTGCTGGAGACTGACCTGGTGCCATGACACTAAACACAAACCATGATGAGGTACAAACCATGGACTACACGGGGACCAAGAGCTGCTGCTGTGAGGGGGTGCTACTGCTGTCGCAAAGTCATATGCATACGTGGTCTCCTCGTGCATCGCAATGTAGTTACGGGGCGATCACTTTCTTTTTTTTGTTGTGGTTATCCAGGGCCCGAAAACCCAACTCTCGTAGCCCTGAGCGCCTGTTTGCTGGTTGGCACCAGAGCGGGATCGTCTTTGGCCACTGTCTGCTTTGCGCCCTGCAGGGGAACCCTGCTCCGGTCTATGTGTACGACGCGGAGATGGTGAGGAGTGCAGAAGCACGTCAGGGCTTGGGGGGGGAAAGGTTTCCCGTCTTAGCGCGACGCGTGTTTTCGCCCACAAGGAGAGTTGTTCAACTGGCAGTGCGCACCGAAACACCCAACATCCAGATGAAGCGGTACGCATAATTCAAGTAGGGCGAAAATGGAGAATTACTTGCTGGTTATGACCCACAACGACGAAGACTGCTGTTGGGGCAAATGCTTGATGGTTTGCAGACCACGCCCTTGTTGCGTGGATTGATTTTGAATTTTTGAACGCGCCCTGTCGTTCTTTGCCCCCCCCCGTATTGGTCGCCAAGCAACCATCCGGTTGGGGGCGTATTATGCGCGTACTTGCGGATTTCCGACGACTCACGCGATGGTTGAGATCTACTTGTGTGGACGATGAACGCGTGATATGGACGATGAGTGCCGGGGGGAACCCGATTTACCTCCATGAGGCGGTGGATCGCGAACAAGTGGTCTTATTTGTTTGTCAGAAAACAACGGCGATAAGGTTGGAGTTGCAACCTTAGGAGTACGCTCTATACGAGAGAGAAGGCGTGTGGGTGGGTGCGCACGCGCCCCGGGCGTCCACGTTGACCTGGTCGCCATGTAGCAGCTCGGGATTGGTGGTGTGTATTGTGTCTTTTTCTCTGCTCCTGTGGCCTTGCTCATGCGCCAGTGGAGGTTATCGTTTGGTATGGAGCGATTGAGTACCACGACAGCGCGTGCTCCCGCATCGCCTTGAGCAGCCAACCCCCTGGACAGCACGGCCGCGCAAGTCCCGAAACAATAACACAGACAAGGCAGGCAGGCCGGCCGCCTGAGAGGTCAGCAAGAGAGCGTGTCAGGGCGATCATGAACGTGTGTGTGTGTGTGTGTGTTTTGTAGACATCTGTCGAACTGGTTTTCACAACCGATGCGTGCACGTGTGCCCGATACCCAGGTTGTCGTCTGTGGTCGCATACCATATAAATTTCTGGTTCTATTCACTGGGACATTGGCGCCTGGCTCGCTCCCCGTCGACGCGCAAGCGAGAGAGTGGTCGTAGAGACTTGCAACAACCAGGCGGAAGTTACGGCTTCGAAAGAGACAACGAGAAACGACCATTGCGCCTGATGTACGGGTCCGCGCAAGTTATCACCATGGCTGCGCGTTGTGTGCGCAGGACCAGCTTTCCCGATTTCCCGCCTCCCCCACAATCCGTCCCTTCATGCGCGGCCGCGAACAAGCGAAGAAATTCAGATTTTTCCTCTGATGACCAACGACCCTACACGACATCTTCACTTCCGTCCGTGTGGTTTTGTCGTGCCGTATGTGTGTTGGTTCGTTTTTACCGCCAGGCCCTGGACTTTGTGCACAGCTGCGGCCGAGTCCATCGCGACGTCAAGCCCGCGAACCTTCTCATCACCAGAAACGGGGATCTGAAGCTGGGCGATTTCGGCGCCGCCGGGGTGGAAAACTCGTCGCGGATGGTGAGTGAAAGGAAGCGAGAGATGAAATGACCATCACATTATATTTAGCAACCATTCCGAATCAGGCAACTTGTGGTAGAAGCTTCGACCAAGGCTTGCTCAAGAGTTGGCACTAAATAGCATGTGAGTCAATCGTGTTTCAGAGAAAACGGAGGTGATTTTCATCGTGATCGTTTTTTTGTTTTTTTTTTCGGGTGGGGGGTGAGTTGTTGGCGGGCAGGTGGAGGGGGAGGAGGCGTTCTCCCTTGAACTGGGACTTTTTTGCCCTCTTGCGTGTGTCATGACCTATGTAGAGGTCGTCCAGTCTGAGGGGTTGATGTTTGGTCCTTCGCTCCCGACCGGTCCCCTTGTGCTAACTCACCCCCGCCGCCGCTCTTGCATCTCTTACATCTCCCTCTCCGTGACGTCGTGCGATGTTTGAACCGAAAAACAAAGGTGGGCACTCAGCGCTTCATGGCGCCGGAGCGGCTCAAGGGCCACCGCGCGACGGCCCAGTCGGACCTGTGGTCGCTCGGGCTGTCGCTGGCCACGGCGGCGCTCGGCGACGACTTCATCTCGCAGGGGAGCAACCAGTTCGTCCAGCTCGACATGGCGGGCCGCGTGCGCAGGCGGCTGTCGAAGACGACCACGCTCTCGGCCGAGCTGATGGACTTCCTCCACTCCTGCCTGTCCAAAGACCCGGCCCGCCGCCCGGCGCTCCGCAACCTGATGAAGCACCCGTTCCTGAGCCAGCGGCAGGACTGGCAGGCCAAGTGCCCCGAGGTGGCCCTGGCCATGCGGGACCGGAAGCGGCTGCAGAGCGGGGACGTCAGCGCGATCGAGGAAGTGCTGGACGCGCTTTGCCACGTCCGCGCGGAGGAGAACCTTATCGGCACCAGCTTCGACCCGGCGACCGCGGCCGACCTGGCCTACGAGCTCGGGGTGACGACCGATAGCCTCGTGCGTGACGTCCACCGGCGCACGCTAGACTTCATCCGGGAGCGCGGCGGCGGCAGCGGCAGTAGCGGCGACCTTTCTTCCTCCGGCCCCGTGAGCGATGGCGGCGACGAGATGCGGAGTCGAGATAGCGACGGCGGGGAGGGTCGGTGGCGGGCGATTAGCGGCGGCGGCGGTGGCATCGCGGGGGACGAGGCGCAAAGGAGACGGAGAAGACCCGCGGCGCATGATGATGCCGGTGGCGACGGTGGCGGAGAAACGAGGGAGGAACGGCCGCTCCACCGCGGCGGAGTAGGGCGAAGAGAAGAGAGCTGTTATCCCCGGCCTGAGCCCCCGCCGCAGGCGGCGGCAGCGGCGGCGGCAGACGCACTGACGTTAGCCATGGACATGATACCCACGGCGACGAGAGAGGGCGACGGCAGCAATCCACGCAGCGGTGGCAACAACGCTTACCCGTTGGTGACGCCGCGGGATCGCCCGACCAGGGGGGGTGCGACGGGGGGCGCCGGCTTCGGGGGGAGACATTCGACTGCTGTGTATTCGAACACGAGGGGTCGCAGGAGAGCGCTGGAAATGAGCCCCGCCGTGAAGCTGACGCCCCACAAGCGCAGGGGTGAGAGGAAGGCCCCCCAGACCAAGAGGAACGGGTCTTGCTGCGTGGCGAACGGCACGAGGCGTGCGGGGCGCGGGCGAGAGAAGGAGCGGGACGCGACGGTAGCGGCGCCGGCGGTGGCGGGGACAGAGGCGGAGACGTCGATGTCTCGGTCCCCGCGAGAGCACGCGACGGAGGTCGTGACGGCGGCCGCGGAGACGGCCGTGGAAGGCATGTCTGCCCGTGTGACGGGGACGGACCGCGACCACCATCGTTTCAGGGAAGCAGGCGCTGCTAATGTCACCGGACCGGGCGCCGGCCACGTTGGCGCGGCCGTCGAGAGCGCGGGCATCACGGCCGCCGACGGCCTCCCTTCTTGCCGAGATAGCCTCGTCCACACGGCGGCGTGCCGGCGCTCCTGGGAGCGGAAGTGCAAGCGCAACCGCAGGCCTCGGACGGCGAGTTCCCGGACCCTGCCCAGCCGGGCCGAGGTCCCCACGCGGTCGATGCGCGGGGTGTTCCAGCTCGCCGACGAGATGAAGGCGCAGATCGCCGTGAGGGACCGGGTGCACCGGCTGCGGGTGTACCCGAGGTGCTTCTCCGGGCGGGAGGCCGTGCAGTGGATGCTGGACGGGTGCCACGCGTCCTCCGTGATGGAGGCCGAGAACATCGGCAACGAGATGATGAAGGCGTCGGTATTCCAGCACATCCTGAACTCGCACGTCTTCGAGGACTCGTCGGTGTACTACCAGTTCACGGACGGGGACACGCCTCCCCCGCCGTCCAGGGGAAGCCGGCGGCTGCGGCAGATCGCGCGGGTCGTCGGCGGGCACGTCGCGCGGAGGCTCGTTCCCAGCGGCGGGGGTGCCGGCACGCCGGTTGATGTTGACGGTGCCAGCAGCAGGCCTGTTAGCAGCAGCAGCAGATCTGTCAGCGGAGGCAGCAGACCCGTCAGCGGCAGCAGCAGATCCAGCATGGACGCCGTGCCTCGAATGGCGGCGGCCGCACGGGGCATCGGAGCAGCTGACTGTATATGCCCCGTCGCGCCGGGAAACGGCAGCGGCTTGGCGAACCAGCACCCGGCGTCGAGGCCCGGTGATCGCGGCAGCAAGGTCAAGCGGCGCAGTCGAGGCCGCGGGTCCCAGTCGGTGCTGCAGTTGCGCCGCTTCAGTAGCAGCATGAGCACGCTGACAGTGCCGGAGACGCCGTATTAATCAAAAGCAGGCGCTTTCCTCCGGAGCCGTGCTCCTTGTGAAGTGTGCGACTTGGGAAGGAGAATAGTCAGCTAGTTTTGCGGCTAGGGCCGTTCGTTGCCCCAAGAGTCCCCCCCCCCTCCCCCATCCCCCCCCCGCGGCCGCTGCTAGCAAAAAGTGAGCGCTTGGCGCCTCTCGGTCTCTCTACTCCGTCTCGCGGTTTGCGGGGTTGTTGTCAAAGGGGCGTGGGACGACGCTGGAACGCTGGCCCTGTCGTGCACGGCGGTCCCGTGGTTTGAGGGAGGTGTAGCGCTTGGGCGCGGCAAGAACCCTTCGCACGACCTTGGCATGGAGGTTGATCAACCCTTCCCTGTGGTTGGTCCAACTTGGTATCTACTAGCACTCCCAGGGGTTTTGATTCCTGGAGCACTACAAGTGTACGATGCCACCGGGTTGCCCCGCCTAGGCACGTCTGGCACGTGCCGCGCCGCATTGCCACGGAATGCAGGAGCACAATCCATGCAGGCGGCGGTGCGCCCGGAACCGATCCGGACACAAAATCGGCATTGTTCAGATCGAAGCCTTGTTCGTGCAAGCTCGGCGTTGGTCGCAGAAGTAGCACCGGCCGGGGTGTAGTTATCCAATTAGGCGCGTTTCGTGTTGTTGCGCAAAGACCCGCGGACGGTCGCCGAGTGCGGCGGCGAGAGAGGGGATAGGGGATAGGGGATAGATTTCTAAGAAGGCTGCGCGTCAGGTGATGATTTTCTCTCCACCGTGCACGTGTAGTAAATTTTTGTATCGGGCTGATTCGTTTCTGTACATTGCTGCCCTCGTTGTGTAGACACTGACCTTGATGCCTTTTAGTTACCCGTGGTGACTGTTTCTCATTGTGGTTTTGGTATAACATGAGGAAAAACGCTGCTAGGTGACTGCTGACGGAGAGGGGGGGGTCTTTTTATCTGTATGCCTCGCCCCCCCCCCCCCCCCCCCCCCCCCCCCCCNCCCCCCCCCCCCCCCCTCCCTCACGCCTGACGGTATATTGCGGATGACTTCGCCCGTTTTTACCATAGCCGTAGCACTGACGCGGTGTGGGGGATAATAGGCTCCTGGCTGCAACAGGGGTGGGGACGTACCCCCCCACACACACACATGTGCACGCGTGCACAGCTCGCAATAGATGCATTCTGTTGTCGCTTTCGCTCTTTTTATGTTTCGTCCACTTCCGTCATTTCTGGTTATGATGCTGGGGCAGGGTGCGCTCATTTGTCTCGGTTTTGGTGTAGGTGTTCGCCCGGCCGCATGGTACGAAGCCAGGGGACAAAACAGAGAGCGGCCGTTCTCGCTTGTCTCGTTTTTGTTCTTCCTGGTCTTGTCTGTCTGGCTTGTGTTTCTGGCTTGTGGTGGTGGTGGTTTCTTCCGTGGTTGGTTGTTGTGACGTTTGGTTGTGTTTTTGTTCTTGTCCACCCCGTATCGTCGCCGTTGTTCGGTTTCGGATCATGATGCCCCCTCTTTTGTCTCTTCGGCTTCCGCCTTGTTCACTCCACCGCGGCACGGAGATCGAGCGCTACGACAGCTTTGCAGAGTGTGCAGCAGCACATCAAAAGTGTCAGGTGGTAGCAAGAACAAGCCGTNGGGGGGGGGGGGGGGGGGGGGGGGGGGGGGGGTGTGGTGTGTCCTTTACATTCTGTCAAGTCCCCGTTCCTGATTTATTTTTGGTGGATTCCAATGGAATGCTTCCCTATGTGGTGCATGAATTGACGAAACGACGTGTGTTGAGCATTTGTTCGTTGGTGGGAGGGGGGTTTTAGAAAGCCAGCAGGGTTTGTCCCCTGTGTACGTGGAGAGCTTGTGCGGAGATCATTAGATAGGCTGGTGGTTCCTCCCATGTAGAAAGCGTTTTGGTTTCCTTCTTGAGGGGAGATGGATGTGACAAGCACCGCTTGCTGCCGCTGACTGCGTCCCACTCATTAGCCGCCCGTGGGGCCGCACGTTTGTTTGCATTACTGCACACGCCCTCACTCAGTATGACCACGCTGCCTCTTGGTATTCAGTCTATTTCTCCTGCTTTGTCAGTGTTAGCAGAGAAAGCTAATGTAAGGACGTGTTTTGATGGTTGCTTGGGGTCGAACACCATTTGTTGTTGTCAACCGCGAGTTTCACCTCGCGACGATAGCTTTTGGCCAGGCGTTGGAGATTGTAGCGGCGAGCCGCCACCGCGCTCTCCTACCTACGGCCGTTGTTGCGGCAGTGATTGTATGTGTGGTGGGTGGAGTATCTGCGCGCTTTCGCGCGCGTGTATGGGGCACATGTACGGGAAGAAGCTGTTCTGGGTGAAGGACCTGTGCCATACATAGAATGCTGCAACGACCGAAGACATTGGTTGGGTTTGTAGAGGATATGACACTGCGATTCGAGGTGACATGCTCATTTCGTCGACAATTGGTCGGATGAAAGGGACCGAGGGATGGAGGATGAACGATGCGGTGTACGGTTTCGGAAGGGAGGGGGGAGGGGGTCGCGTGGAATGTACCGAGTGTGAAAGGAAGAGTGTGGAGTTAACCGAGAGCCGCCACAAATATCGTCGGCATGGGATTTGGTTTAAGCTTGCTTTTTGATGGCGCGGCATGTAGCGATAGACGAGAGGCACGGCGGTGGTCTAGGGAGCGTGCCGTTTCATATCGGTTGCGGTGGGGTGGCTTGGTTAGAGCGGAAAGAGGAGGGGGTAGTACCATGTGCACGGAGAATGCGGGTATACCTAGGCGCCGCGCAATTGTTGAAGCATGGAAGTGGGAGAGTAGAGGGAAAGGAAGGGTTGGGCGCGGTTCATGGCACCGTCTTTTTGTCGCACTTCAGACTTGCAAACAAACTCTGTTGTAGATGATGGCGAAAAACAACGAAAAAATTAAAATTAAAACATGTCACAAAAAACGAACATACAGGCTACAAATGTTTCTCTCTCTACCTTGCAAGTGTCTTGTTCATCAACGCGTGCTCGGAGGAACGTTTTGTGTGCACTTTTCCAGGTCCTTCACATCTGGAAGGGTTGGGCGCGGTTCATGGCACCGTCTTTTTGTCGCACCTTATTTAGACTTGCAAACAAACTCCGTTGTAGGCGATTATGGTGAAAAACCGAAAAAATAAGACTACAGCATGGAACAAAAATTGAACAAATCCTTCTATATATGCTACAAATGTTATGTTTTTCTCTTTACCTTAGAAGTGTCTTATTCATCAACACGTGCTCGGAGGAACGTTTGTGTGCACTTTTTCAGGTCCTTCACATCTGTCGTGATGATGAAGACGTGCACGCACGCGCAGTGTGTGGAGGATGAGGGCGTTTCGGACTATCTTTTTTCATTTCAAATCAGCGCTCACAGCACTAACAGCAGTGCCGTTTACTCCAACCCGTGGTCACACAGAAGAGCGTCTCTCTACCCTCCCCTTCTGCGGTACTTTCCCTTCGATTTTTAATGCCATAAGAGTTCAGCACTCGCTTCCCTCTGTGTACACACCAACTTACGCTATCCATTAGGCCAGGAGCAGAAGCGAGAGAAAAACTCACTCTCCAAGAAAAGCTCGCTTACGCCGGGATTCGAACCCCCAACCTAAACTATAAATAGAAGGTTTCGGGGATACCAACTAGACCACCGGGGAGACATGGATGCCACAGGAAAGGCTGTGCTCCGGCCCTTCCAGATCAATCACCCTTGCTGTCGTCGAGTGTTGCTTTCGCACGTCCGAGACATGTATGTTTCCTGTGATGACCACAACGTTACACCGTGCTGTCGCTCGGATACCCTGTTCAATGCATTCCACTTTTCTGCGCCTCTCCAAAGCCAAACCTAACAAAACTCCCGAGATTGCCCGGCGGTCAACAGCCAAATTCGCGTCGCTTCGACAACAAGGCGACACCAATAATGATTTTCCTGGATTCGAACAACGGAACCAGGCCAGGGGCAGACAGCGGTTGCAAAGGGACAAACACCAAGCAACGTGCCACGCCTCCAACTCTTGACCAAGTCTGGGTGAATTCTCGAAGCTTGGGGGCAGAGATGCATAGATGCCGTTGCCTGTCACTCGTCTATCTACGGACTGGTAGACTGCTACTAGCCGACCGATTTTTTGTTTCTCTGGTCTGCCTGCTGCTTCTGTTTCTCTCATGTCTCTGTCTCTTGTCTCGGTGTCGCGCACACAGGTGGCACACAAGACCTCTGTCTACTTGCCTCTCTGTCTCTCTCTGTCTGTCGCTCTGTCTCTCTTGTCTCTCTCGGGCATGTCTGTTACATCAAATCAAATCAGAATCGTACACAACAAACAACGAACAAACGCACGCACCCACCCACCCGCACTGACATCTTCCCTTCACCGAGACAGGGCCATCTATGAAATATACAATCAATTGTTGGCGTGTCCGCCGGACCGTTCCTTAACCCCCACAAAATCGAACGTGGTGGCGGACACAACAAACAAAACGCGCAGCAGCGACGCCATCGATCCCGACGAGCTTCGTTCATTTCTCTCCATATGTGCCTGCACCAAAAAACTACGCTGCTGCTTTCTCGCCGCCTCTTCATTCCTCGTCCTTGGCATCATCAGGACCGTAGGGTTGCGAGGCGGGGAGGGGCGGGGACCCCGTGGGGGCCCGGCTACCACCGGGCCTGGGAGCCCCCCCCCTGCCCTTGGCGCCCCCGGGGCCCCCGCGGCCCCTGAGGAGGGAAAGCCCGGCGAGCAGCCTCTTGAAGAGCTCATCGAGGATGCCGATGTCGTAGAAGCGCATTCTCTTCTTGCGCATGTCGTCCAGGAGTCGGAGGGCGACATCGTACTGTCCCGACCGCTCGCACCTGTGGTTATTCAAGACAGCGAGTTGCAATTTGTTCGTCGCGTTATGAGAAGACATCAAGAGGCCAAGGGCGTGCATTGGGTTTGTCAAGAGGAGAAAGTTGCCGGAGGGTAGCAAAAATCACAATAACGAAGGTCGCTGTTCGGATGTGTGGCAGCCGACGTCAGTGCTGTATTGCTCTATGCTGCCGTTTCAAGCATACGAGTCGAGACACAAGAAAACGACCACCGCTGCTTCTTGGTTTCGTGTCACGACGCCATTGCTCATGTTTGTCACCAACCCCCCCAAAACAAGAGCAAACAACAAGAAGAAACCAACAGCCCGCCAAACAACAGCAAATCTCCGTTCAAGCCAACAGTCAGCGGGCCAGAGAGGAGGAAAGCGTCAAAAACATTTGGGTGAAAATGAAAAACAAACGTCGCAAGAAAAATATAACCAACCAAACCTTGCACTAATAAATTCAACTCACGCTCGAACTACGCTGGTGTAGCACTGGACCGTGGGCATGATTTTTCTGTCCTCCATCTCTTGGAAGAGCATGATCGCCTCCTGCCACCGGAGCTCGCGGGTGAGCGCGTCCACCAGAGGGGTGTATGAGTGGATGTTTACGGAGCAGTTTCTCCGCGCCTGTAGCTTGTTGAACAGCTGGATAGCCTGTGGTCACAATATGGTCAAGTGAATCAATCGCATGTGAACAGAAAAACAACATGGTGATGGCGGTGTTGAAAAAAAACAGATTTGTACCATGCGAAAAAAAACAACCAAAAGCTAGCCTCGAACCTACTACATTTGCTGTAGACCCAACAACACACCTGCTTGTACTTCTATTGATACGATTTATTATATCCCGCCCCAAACGGATGCACGCAGATAGCAGCCACGTGATGTCATGATACATGCTTGCAAACGAGCAGTGAGTCCTCGAATGAAAACCGCAGGGTCCATATCGATTCAAACGGTGGAAAACCGTGCGAACATTTCAAGTGACGATGAACTTCGATCGCTGCAGCGGTCTCGCACCTCCTCGACCTTGTCGGCATCAACGAGGGCCTTGATGACAACGTTGAAGCAGTGCGTGTTGGGTCGCAGGCGCAGGTCGATCATACGATAGATCAGCTCTTGCGCCTGAGGGAAGAGGAGAGAAAACAGAGAAGCGAAAAGAGCGCGCGCGCGGGNNNNGGGGGGGGGGGGGGGGGGGGGGGGGGGGGGGGGGGGGGGGGGGGGGGGGAGTATTCATGTCCTGCATGCCTCGTTTGTTAGATCATTGACCACTCGTCCTCAAGGAAGGAGAGTTGTTCCCAGAGGACCAATCACCGATGGCCAATAGTCCATTCCTACTTTGTTCAAGGTGGCTCAAAAACAGTGCTGTATCCCTGCGCGCGCGGGGGGGGGGGCGGGGAGAGCTACGGCACGAACTGTGTGTGTCATGAATTCTGCGCTTCTTCCCTGTGTTGAAATTTCTTCATAAAAGAGGAGTCCGATCAAACGAAAGGCAGCAAAAAGAGTTGTGTGCCCGACAGAACCGAACGAGCCGTCCGAAAATAACATGCGGTGGACAAGGCTTTGGGGGAGGTGGGGTGGGGAGGGCAGCGGACCGAATCAAAGCTAGGATTCCTACCAACACCTATCTGGTGGGGACAGAAATGCACAGAAAGGAACACTGCTGTTGCATCCACAACTGTTCAGCATACCTGGTGCAAGAGAGATTTGGTTGTCCAGAAAAAGCGAACTAAGGAAAACCGACAGCAAGAGGAACAAAACTTGAAAAAATAAGGGAAGAAAAATCATCGTGCGTGCCGGCTCGGGTCTGACCCGCGGTGTCTACGAAGCGGCCAACGTAGTTTCGGTGACAGAGAACAAAAGAGCCGCCAGCAAAAAACAGTAGCGGCCGTGTTCCATTTGTTAGACGGAGTCGGTTTGGTAGTCACCGTTTTTATATAAACTACCCACCCGGATCTGGGCTTTGAAGCCAATTTTCCAGGTAAAGAACACGATAACAAATGGAAAAGAAGGAAAAACGCCGGTAGCTTCTGTGTGTCGCACAAATCGTTCGAGTTCAATAGTGTTCCCTGGCGTCCCCGCTACTGCCGCCGACGGCCACTCTACCGCTGTTTGAACGAACATCTCGTTCTCTGCAAACAACCAGTCATCCAAGTCTTCCTTTTCTTGACCAACCGTAAACGACGCCACCTCCGTCGTACTACAGCAGTAGCGGGTTTCGTTTCTCATCCTACCTTGGAGGCTTGCCCGGCGGCGCAGCACGCCTTGATTATCCCTCCGTACACGATCTCGTTCGGCTCGATCTGCTCTCGGCGCACCGCAGCCAGCAGCTCCAGGGCCTACGAATGACAAAAATCATAAAAAAAAAACACACACACACAAACGAACAAGTGGTACAGGTGAGCGAGCGGCACACGTTTCGCAGCTTGTCTCGGCCTGACCGATTTCAAGAGGAGGAGGCCGGAATGACAACATCAACGAACCATAGCTTGCGAACGCCCTTTGTGCCCGTTGTATCTGCCGATGCATGTATTCTGCTTCCGTTAGAGCCCTCTTGCGTGCCCCCCCCCATCAACCACAGGCAACCATCGAACCCCCTTGACTGTCAATCGCCAATCGTCGAAAGTTTCTAAGCACATGCATGCCTGACGTTGTCCCCCCCCCCCCCCCCCCTCTGCCCCGACATCATTCGCTTTGCGCATGGACACACAACCTTCACAACGAAAACCACGACACATAGCGCACAAACGAACCAAACTCCTGCATGCACGACACCCAACCCTCCTCGCCAAAGCAACAAACCAACATCAACACCAACACCAACACAGCTGCAATTCACCTCTCCCCCGCCCCACCCTCTACGCGACTCGAGCCTAATACCTCATGGCGCTTCGCGCTTGGTGATGTGAGAGCCTGGTCCCGTGAGAACCCGGCGTGCTCCGTCCCGGCTTTGTAGGGATGCAAGGTCAATGATCTAACGACTATG